CACCACGTTGCCCAGGCTGGTCGCAAACTTCTGGACTTAAGCAATCCGCCTGCCTTGACCTCCCTAAATGCTGGGATTACCGGTGTGTGCCACTGTGCCCAGCCTCAAAGAAGAAATTTAAAAATCTATTGAGGTCGGGCATAGTGGCTCATGCCTTTAATCCCAGCAGTTTGGGAGACCCAGGAAGGTGGATCACCTGAGGTCAGGAGTATCAAGATGGCCAACGTGGTGAAACATGGTCAACATGGTGAAACCCCGTCTCTACTAAAAACACAAAAATTAGCCAGGTGTGGTGGCACATGCCTGTAGTCCCAACTACTTGGGAGGCTGAGGCAGGAGAATTGCTTGAACCTGGGAGGCAGCAGTTGCAGTGAGCCAAGATCATGCCATTGCACTCCATCCTGGGTGACAAACACTCCACCTCAAAAAAATAAAATAAAAATCTATTGAGACAAAGAAAAATGTGAAAATTACATACCAAACATTCGGAATGCAGCTTCTCTAAGAGAAAAGTTTATAGTAATAAATGCCTACCTCACAAAAGAAGAAAGATTCCAAATAGACAAACTAACAGTATACTTCCAGGATCTAGAGAAGAACAAATTAAGCTCAAGATTAGCAGAAAGAAGGAAATGATAAGGTTCAGAGCAAAATAAATAAAATAGCAACAAGAAAACAATAGAAAAATCAACAAAATTAAATTAGATTATGAAAAGATAAATAAAACCAATAAACCTTTAGCAAGCTAGACTAAGAAAAAATAAAGATTCAAATAAAAGCAGATGAAAGAGGGGATACGATTGCTACGCCACAGAAAAACAAAGGCTTATAAGAGACTACTGTGAACAATAATACCGCCAGGACAAATCTGGGATAACTTCAGAAGGAGACAACATTGCCTGGGACACGTACCACCTACTAGCCTGAATCATGAAGAATATTAAAACCTGAAAGGGGGCGGGGCGCTCGTGGCCTCACCGCCTGCTAATCCCAGCCACTTTGGGAGGCCGGAGGCGGGTGGATCACGATGGCGGTCAGGAGATTCGAGACCAATCCTGGGCAAGACGGTGAAAGGCCCGCGTCCTCTACTCAAAACTACAAAAAAAAACAGTTAAGCGGGGCGTGCTGCGGGTGGTGGCGGCACTGTAGGTTCCAGCTGCTCGGGAGGGCTGGAGGCAGCGAGACAATGGTGTGAACGCCAGCGTGGAGCTTGGCAACTGAGCAGGATCGTGGCCACTGCCACTCCAGCCTGCGGTGACAGAGGGAGCACTTCCACATCTCAAAAAAAAAAAAAAAAACCTGAAAGGACCGAGTATGAATAAGCAGATTAATTCCCCACTAATGAAAATTCTCCCCAGAGGCAGGTGTGGTGGGCTCACGCACCCTTAAATCCCGGACTTGGGGAGCCAAGGTGGGTGGATCATCTAAGGTCAGAGTCCAGACCAGCCATGGGGCCCGCAGAATTGTGAAAGCCCATCTCTACTAAAAATTACCAACAAAATTAAGGGGTGGGTCGGTGGGGCACCACCACTGTGTCAATCCAGGCTACTCAGGAGGACGGAAAGGAGAATCACTTCGACTGAGAGGCAGAGGTTGCAGCTCGAGCTCAAGAGTACACAAGCTGTACTGCCAGGGCCTGGCGGTGACAGGAGGCAATACCCTGTCTCCAAACAAAAAGAGGAATGGGTTCGAAAAAGAGTAATTGTTTCTTCAGCACAACAAAGGACTATCTTGGACAAGGCCATGCTAACATTATATTAACTTGTGGAAAATATTTTTTTTTCTCTAAGATCAGAACAAACAAGGATGCCAACTCTTCAGCCATGTCTATTGGCCAAATATAGTATGGGAAAGTCCTAGGCCACGCAGCAATCAACGCAAGAAAACGTGTGACAGGACATCCAAATAGGAAAGAGTAGAAAGAAAATTTTAAATGGCTTACTTACAGAAGTTTTGTTGTGGAACAGTTGTAAACTTCCATGTAAGAAGTAATTGGGAATGTAGTGGGAAGTGTTTGATAGGTCGATGTTAACAGGCTTCTGAAATTGTTATTTACCATTACTATTTTAAAAAGCGTTTCCACCAAATGTTACTTTATGCAGTGTGTCCAGTGAAAAGTATTACTGTCGGATGAAGGAATGTGGTTTACCGTTACTGAATTCACTCTGTAAAATATTGGTCCAACTCCTGACATTCCCTGAAAAGATATTATGGATTTCTGGGCTCTCAAGGAGATAATAAGGAAATGGAGATAGAAGCCGTGTGCAGGTGGCTTTCGACGGCTGTAGATTGGCCAGCGGCACTTTGGAGGCTGAGGTGGGCAGATCATCTGGAGTCGAGGAGTTCTGAGACCCAGCCTGCCAACCATGGTGAAATTTCCATCTACTAAAGGATCAAAAATTAGCAGGCCATGGTGGGCAGACGCCTGTAGTTCCAGCAACTCGGGAGGCTGAGAAAGGAGAATCACCTGAACCCAGCAGGCAGAGATGTTGCAGTGAGCTGAGGTCACGCCACTGCATTCCAGCCTGGGCAACAGAGCAAGAGTCTGTCTCAAAAAAAACAAAAAACAAAAAACAAAGAAAAAAGAAAGAAAGGAAAAAGAAAAAGAAATGGAATCCTAAACTCTAAAGCCATGCTGACATAATAATGTGGCTCATTCTCATGCACATTTTGAAACAGATGGGTAAATTATATCAAGGAAAGGTCAGAGCTCAGATGGTCTCTAAGAAAACTACAGCCAACTATGGGGTTAACAAGCAGAATCTTCGAAGTTCTCTATCTCTCTATTTTATTTTTTTTCTGCCTACTTTCAATCTGCTGACTTTTCTGCTGGTGTTGAGATAAAAATCACTGCTTATGACATTTGAGCCAAGATTTTTAAAAGAAAGACTTAAAGCCATTTCAAATTAATGACTTTACAAATAACAATAGCTCCATGATAAACAACCTGGACACCTGAGCTATCCCTTTCGGAAATGTAAATTTAGGTTTGCCTGCCTAACAATTGTGTACGGTGACAAAACAGATAATTGAAGGATTAACAGTCTAGAATAATTATATAAATGTTTAGAAAAGTTAGGCTCTCAGATCAGACAGGTTAAAATCTTGAGCTCAGAGCCATAATATAAGTTCAGTGTCTGGCATAAAAATTGCTTTATCTGCCACTCAAGGAGTTAGAAAAAATTTTTAAAGTGCAGATAATCTTTTTCCCCACCCACATTGGAGCAGGTGATGAAGCGAAGTAGGTTTTAGGACTAGATTGTCATGTGGACGCCATGTTAAGTGTTAATTTCTTTTCCTTTTCTTTTTTTTTTTTTTTTTTGAGACTGAGTCTCACTCTGTCCCCCAGGCCAAAGTGCAGTGAATCCATCTCTGCTCACTGCAACCTCTACCTCCCAGGTTCAAGCGATTCTCCTGACTCAGCCTCCTGAGTAGCTGGGATCACAGGCGTGTGCCACCACGCCCAGGTAATTTTTCCAATTCTTGTTGATTCCTGATGAGGGGGTGAGTGATTGTTACCTGGGAGAGTGTCCTGGCTTTGGGTAAAAAAACGAGTGTTTTGTGTGAAATTGCAAATCTGGCACAGCAATAACCACTGGAGACTTTGATAGAAAGGACAAGGATTTGTATTGCTATTGCAAGTTTTCCGTAAGAATGAAATGATCAAAAGTAATTACATTTATTTATTTATTTGTTTGTTTGTTTGTTTATTTATTTTAGACAGTCTCCCTCTGTCGCCCAGACTGGAGTGCAAAGGTGCAATCTCACTGCAACTTCCGCCTCTCAAGTTCACGAGATTCTCTTGCGTCCGCCTCCTGAGTAGCTGGGATTATAGGCACACATCACCATGCCCTGCTATTTTTGTATTTTTTAGTAGAGACGGGGTCTTTTCATGTTGGCCAGGCTGATCTTGAACTCCTGGGTTCAAGAGATCCTCCTGCCTTGGCTTCCCAAAGTGCTGGGATTACAGGCGTGAGCTACCGTGCCCGGCCTCAAAAAGTTATTACTTTTTTTTTTTTTTTTTTTCCCGAGACGGAGTCTCACTCTGTTGCCCAGGCTGGAGTGCAGTGGCGCAATCGCGGCTCACTGCAACTTCCACCTCCTGGGTTTAAGCGATTCTCCTGCCTCAACCTCCCGAGTAGCTAGGATTACAGGTGCCCACCTCCACACTCGGCTAATTTTTGTATTTTTAGTAGAGATGGGGTTTTACTATGCTTGCCAGGCTGGTCTTGAACTTCTGACCTCAGTAATTACTTTTTTAAACAACCATGTGGGCTGGGTTCGCTTGCATGAGGAACGCTTGCAGCCAGGAGCTGGAGACCAGCCTAGGCAACATAGTGAGACATCATCTCTACAATAAAATTAAAAATTAGCCAGGCATGGTGGTGCATGCCTGTAGTCCCAGCTACTCAGGAGCATGAGGCGGGAGGATCCTTCAGCCCAGACGTTCAAGGCTGCAGTGAGCTATGATGGTGCACTCCACTGCACTCACACCAGTGAGCACTGCACTCCAGCCTGGGTGACAGAGTGAGACTCTGTCTCAAAAATGAAAAATAAGGCTAAGGCATGGTGGCTCAGGTCTGTAATCCCAGCACTTAGGTCACGATTTGGAGACCAGCCTGGGTAACATAGGGAGACTCTGTCTCTAGAAAAAAAATAATCAATCAACCAGTCAATCAAACACGTCAATACCGCGTCAGTAAAGCAGAGGTGACATCAAACTTCATTCCAATAGCTAAGCCTGACCCAAATCCAGTTCCGCCAAACTAGGAAACCAGTCTCCCTGGTAAGCCTCTGACTGTGATGTTAGTATTAAAAGCCCTCTGCGTGGCATTATACTAGCAGCCACTGTGTCTTAGCTGTTGAGAAGGACCTCGTGTGTGGTGGAAACCGGGGTTTTTTATTTCCAAAATTCCACATGAAGCCCTTCCTCTAATGGGGGCTCTGAAGACCAGCTGCTCCTCAGTAGTCAGGACCGTGACAGGAAGGATTTTACTCACCATTGACGCAGCCTCAAGTTGTCCCAAAGTGAGGCGGTGTCCGCTTAGATCTGTGCTGAGGAAAATGAGGTTCTGGTCTTCACTGCGGGCCTGGCGCTGGCGGCCACCGGAGGAGCACGGAGGCGGTGGGGGCTTCTCAGGGGTCCGACAAGGCGGCTCGCACGCCCCCTGCTGGTCATCTGGGGCAGCGCGGGGCCCTCGGCGCTCGCTCACTGTTTAGCGGTGGCCGCGTGCCCCCTCCTGGCTGTCTAGCTGAATTAATTAAACTTGGAGTTCAGATTGTTTAATGCCGTGATTTTGGACGTTCAAACTAAAACGGGGCCCACTATCCTGTGTCTTTCTCAAAAATGTTAAAGGAACAATTAATCGGAACGAAATAAATGTAGATCTAAACTTTACAAGTTTCACAACAATTCATTCAAAGTAGTCCGTTGACTTAAATTTAAAATACAAAGCTGGTGGGGCACGGTGGCTAACGCCTGTAATCTCAGCACTTTGGGAGGCCGAGGCGAGCGGATCACCTGAGGTCGGGAGTTCCAGACCAGCCTGACCAACATGGAGAAACCCTGTCTCTACTAAAAATACAAACTTAAAAGGGCGTGGTGACGCATGCCTGTTGTACTAGCTACTCGGGAGGCTGAGGCAGGAGAATCTCTTGAACCCGGGAGGCGGAGGTTGCCGTGAGCCGGGATAGCGCCATTGCACTGCAGCCTGAGCAACAAGAGCAAAATTCCGTCTCAAAAAAAAGTAATAATAGACAAAACTATAAAAATTCTAAAGTTACGTTAAATCACATGGAAAGCAATGTCAAATGAGAACTACTTAGCCACGCACAGTGGCTCACACCTTAATCCCAGCACCTTGGGCGGCTGAGATGGGAGAACCGCTTGAGCCCAGGAGTTTGAGACCAGCCTGGACAACCCCGCACCCGGCAACCAACCCATCTCTACAAAAAATACAAAAGTTAGGCTGCTCTGCCTATGGAGTAGCCATACTTTTGTTTCTTTATTTCTCTAATAAACTTGCTTTCACACACACACACACAGTAGCCGGGTGTGATGGCGCACACGGGTAATCCCAGCTACTAGGGAGGCTGAAGTGGGAGGATCACCTGAGACCAAGAGGTCGAGGCTGCAGTAAGCCATGATTAGGCCACTGCACTCCCACCTAGGTGGCAGAGACCTTGTCTCAAAAGAGAGAGAGAGAGAGAGAGAGAAAGATATACTAACCTTCTCTAGATTATATTTGTATGGGTAAAATGTTATTGTTTCAGAAATTGTGTCAAGTGCCTGGAAATTTGTCAATGTCCTCCTTGTCCAAGATAAATCCCAGCGTAATGTTATCAGCCATAATCCCAGTTATTATTTTAACTGTTGTATGCCACTGAAGCAACCAAATTTCCTTGCCAGTTTCATTGTAATGAACTTTCATTAGATCTTAACCATAGCTAATTTACATCTTCTTTTTTTTTTTTTTTTTGAACAGAGCCTCACTCTGTCACCCAGGCTGCTAGAGTACCATGGCACAATCTGGGCTCACTGCAACCTCCACCTCTCAGGTTCAAGCGATTCTCCTGCCTCAGCCTCCCCAGTAGCTGGGACTACAGGAGCCTGCCACCACACCTGGCTAATTTTTGTGTTTTTAGTAGAGACGGGGTTTCACCATGTTGGCCAGGCTCTTCTTGAACCCCTGACCTCAAGCAAGCCACCCACCTCGGCCTCCCAAAGTGCTGGAATTATAGGCATGAGCCACTGCACCTGGCCTACTATTATTATTTTTACAGACAGCGTCTTGCTCTGTGTCCCAGACTGGAGTGCAGTGGCACCATCATAGCTCACTGCAGCCTGGAATTTTGGGGCTCAGGCAATCCTCCCGCCTCAGCCTCCCAAGTAGCTAGAAATACAGGCACATGCCACCACACCAGGCTTTTTTTTTTTTTCTTTGGTGTGTTAGAGCCTCACTATGTTGTCCACATTGGTTTTGAACTCCTGGGTTGAAGCATCCTTCCACTTCAGCTGCCTGAGTAATTGAGATTATACACCACCACACCCGACTATTGCTGGTTCTTTAATGTTCTATTTTCTGGATTTAAAGAAACTTTTTCTCTTAAGCTAACTATATCTTGTGATAATTTAGGAGACTATACTTTTATAAACAGAAATGAAATATTTATCTTTTTCTCCCTGCCTGATCCCTCCAGGATTTAGAAACTCTTATTGAATATTTTCAGTTTCATGGCAATATAGTTATTTGCATAAATTGAATAAGAATCTCTTTACCTTATAACAGGACGTAATTGAGACAATTGGTAATATCACTAATGCGTTGACTCTAATGTCCCATTTGAGAATGATGTACATAGGATCAGATATGACCAGACAATGTTAAGGAACTAAGGTTGACTTTACAGAACCAATGTTCACAAAAACCTCTAGGTTACAAAACCTTCTGTGTGACAGGGATACTGTTACCTGAATTACACAGTTCCAAACCTAACAAGTGAGTAGAGATGGTCACTTCCTGAAAAGACTAGGAAACAGGATATTTTGGGGACTTCAAGAAGAGAAGAATTCACCTAAATCTACAGTTACTGCAGGTGAAGTCTGGTGGTAGATTCTTGGCTTGGCTTTCTAGCCTCAAGGGGGCTTTTAAAAGTCCAATCTGACATTCCTTTTTTTTTTTTTTTTTTTTTTTTTTCTCTATGTGGTCAGGCGGCTGGTTGAACTCGCAGGCTCAAGTGATCCCCTGAGCTTGGCCTCCCAAAGTGCTGGGATTACAGGTATGAGACACCATACCCGGCCTCAACCTAACATTCCATATGAAAAGTTCCAGCAAAGCCAACTTAAAAAGACCTATATGGGGCCGGGTGCGGTGGCTCACGCCTATAATCCCAGCACTTTGGGAGGCCAAGGCAGGCGGATCACAAGGTCAAGACCATCCTAGCTAACACGGTGAAACCCCATCTCTACTAAAATTACAAAAAATTCGCTGAGCGCAGTGGTGGGCACCTGTAGTCCCAGCTATTTGGGAGGCTGAGGCAGGAGAATGGTGCGAACCCGGGAGACGGAGCTTGCAGTGAGCCGAGATGCACTCCAGCCTGGGCGACAGAGCGAGACTCTGTCTCAAAAGAAAAACAAAACCCTATATGATTACCATTCTTACTGCACTTTTGTAAATAATCAGGCAAACTCTAAGTCTAATCTCGACTTATTTTGCAAACAAGAATAATTTTACTTTGATTATATTTGAACAAAAATAAGGGTGACTGTACAAAAAATTTTATGTTTCAATGGAAAACAATAACTCACTCTTGAGATTTTAGAATCTCACAGGATCAGATTCTAATCCTGTTCGTTGTCTTTGAGCTATTTTCACCTCTTTGAAAACTGCATCCTGCCATTTGGTGCATTATGTCCTACAAAGATACTTGCAGGAAAAGAAGCCAAGTATTGTCCCCCTGCTAATGTATCTATTGTCAGTTAATTTACAGATCTTCAACCACTGGAACAAAGTTAGAAGAGGCAAGTTTTGCTCTCAAAAATGCATGGGCAAATTGGGATATATTCATGCAATAGAATACTAATCAGCAATATAAAGAAACAAATTAGGCTAGGCATGGTGGCTCACACCTGTAATCCCAACACTTTGGGAGGCTGAGACAGGATTGCTTGAGACCAAGAGTTTGAGACCAGCCTGGGCAACATGGTGAGACCCCATCTCTATCTAATTAATTTTTAAAAAAAGAAAAGAAAAAGAAAATCTGGAAAGCCAGATTTTTTGTTATTATTATTGAGACAGGGCCTCACTCTGTTGCCCAGACTGAAGTGCAATGGTGTGATCATGACTCACTGCAACCTCAAACTCCTGGGCTTAAGGGATCCTCCTGCTTTCTAAGTAGCTGGGACTACAGGTGCATGCAACCACATTCAGCAAATTTTTTTTTTTTTAGTTTTTGTAGAGACTACATTGCCCAGGCTGGTCTCAAACTCCTGGGCTTAAGTGATCCTCCTGCCTTAGCCCCCTAAAGTACTGGGATTACAGACGTGAGCTGCCACATCCAGCTAATATCTTTTTTTTTTTTTTTTTTGTGAGACAGAGTCTTGCTCTTTCGCCCAGGCTAGAGTGCAGTGGCACATTCTCAGCTCACTGCAACCTCTGCCTCCCTAGTTCAAGCAATTCTCCTGCCTCAGCCTCCCAAGTAGCTGGGATTACAGGCACCGACCACCACGCTCAGCTAATTTTTGTATTTTTAGTAGAGATGGGGTTTCACCATCGTGGCCTGGCTGGCCTCAAACTCCTGACCTCGTGATCCACCTGCCTTGGCCTCCCGAAGTGCTAGGATTACAGGCATGAGTCACCGTGCCCAGCAATCACTCTTTAAGAAAAAGAGTCAGGGCTGTTTGAAGAAATGGCTGGTACTAGGGTTGGGACGGTAAATATATGAGCTAGGATAATCTTGAACTATCAAAAAGTGTGGTCTTTAGACATTCAAAAAAGGATGAAAAATAACAAACAAAAAAAGTTAAAAAGTGTTCAGGAAAAAAAAAACAGATGAAATTAATGATATTGGAGTTAAAAAGAAATTATTTAGGCAGATAGTGAGGGTAAGGAAGTCTTCAGTAAGGTTTCCCTTTTAATGAAAAGCAGCCCCAAAATCATTTCTTTTCTAACAAAGAGCAGCCTGTAAAATCGAGCTACACACATAGATAAGCAAGCTGGGAGCTTGCACAGGTGAATGCCGGCAGCTGTGCCGTAGGAAAAGGCTACCTGGGGGCCAAGCATGTTCAACATGGCGGCTCCATCTTCCTGTTGCCTTGCCAACCACATGTACAGTAAGGAGCAGACAACATGGCACTGGCTGAGTAGAACACCCATTTGCTTAATAAGAAGATTAGGGTGGGGTAGCCAGCTTCTTCATGTACTATGTAAATGTCACCCCTGGTCCAACCAATCTTTGGGCCCTATGTAAATCAGACACTGCCTCTGCAAGCCAGTTTCTCTTTCTTTCACCTATTAAACCTCTGCTCTTAACCTCACTCCACTTGTGTCTGCATCCTTGATTTCCTCAGCATGAGGCAACGAACCTCAGGTATTACCCCAAACCAACAATGTTGCTTCA